AGTCTGGAAGCCCCTGGGCTCTTTTTGCATTCCAGTCTGTGGAGAGTAGGTCTATCGATGGGGTGTACACTCCCATTCCAATGTTGGTGAAGAAAATTAAGTATATTGTTTAAAATTGCAAGCCGATAGTGGGCTCATTTGAAGTCCTTTCCCTGAGAGGTTATTAATGCTGCGTATTATCTTCAGTTTTCACTGATTCACAAACATTGTGGTTAGAACTTGTTGATACAACATAGGGATGGGAAAGCTTTGTATCCAGGACAGATCCACTGTCACACATTAAGAACACCCCCTGCTCCATGGTAGGGAGCTAATGTAGTCCCCAGACTTTTGGACAAATAGCAAGGGCTTGCTTTCACAGTTTCCCAGAATCCCTTGAGGTGGCCTGATGGCTGTGAAAAGAAGATAGAATTATTGTACTTTGTATGGCTTGGTGTGCAGTGTCCCTGGAGGCCAGAGGAGGGCAACAGAGAGCCTGTAGCTGGAGTTACAGACAGGTCTGAGCTGCCCCATATGGGTGCTAGGAACTGAATCCTGGTTCTCTGCAAGAGCAGTACACACTCATAACCTGTGAGCCATCTCTCCAGCCCCTAGAGATAAATAAAGACTCAGATTCAGACCTAAGAGTCTGAATCTAAGTTCCTTGTCTATTTAAACACTACAGCAGATACATGTTAACCTCTATTTTCCCTTTGCATTGCTGCCAGTTGAATCCAGATCTGTGGGGTGCTGGTCAAGCCCACTACTGCTAAGCTGTACCCTAAATCCAACACTTGCTTTTTAGGGTCTACAGTCTATGTGCACTGAAGCTTATGTGCACTAAGCTTAATCAGTTTTGATTTTTAAAACTAAATATTTGTTTTTTTTTTACGCATATATTTATTCATTTTGTGTGGCAAGGTGGCTGCCCACATATCACTGTGTGTGTGTGTGTGTGTGTGTGTGTGTGTGTGTGTAGGTCAGAGAACAACTTTTGTTCTCTCCTCCCATGTGGGTTCCAGGATGGAACTCAGGTTGGCAAGCTCGGGAGTGAGCACTCTTAGCCCGAGCCACCTCACTAGCCTGACTTTTAATCTTCTTAACCTATTTTTTCAAATATATTATTTTACGTCTATATATGTGTATCTGTGTACATGAATGTAGGTGTCCACAGAGGCCAGAGATGTCCAGTCTGCCAGGAGCTGGAATTATGGGCAGTATGGGATTTGAGAATTGAACTTGTGACCTCTGGAAGAACAGCATGTGCCCTTTACCCCGGAGCCATCTCTCCAGCCCTGAAACTATTTTTCGATAATAACCACTAAACTACAGGACTGTATTCCATAAGGATATACCTCAACCAACCAGCAAAGTAAAAAGTCTCAAACCAAATCATCCAACAAAATAAGGGCTCACAAGGGCTCACAAGACCCCGGTGCCATCAGTGGAGGGCATGAGGCACAGGGATATCAAATGACTTGAGGTACTTGGAGAGAGGCAGAGTTCTCTGCCCAGCATAGATGGTGGTCCCTCAAGGGAGAGGCACACCCCAAGGGATGCAGAAGTAAGCTCTTCCTACAACATTGTCCTCGTCAGCTTCTTATACACAGGAGGTCAGAGGCTTACAAAGCATCCATCATACAACATACGAAAGAGGAAGGAACAGCTTAAAAATGGACCAGTGTGCACATCAGTGGGAAATGCAGCATCACCAGAGATCTCCTGAAAATTCGACATCCCTTCAGCCAAAACTGCTTACCAGAATCACACATCCTTTACACGGCATCCTGTAAATCATAGGGGAATCACAAAGCTCAGGCTTTAACTCTACCCTAAGTATTTTCCCTTGTGGTATTTAAAAGCATAACTTCTTATAATACATAGAAAAGAAATCATCTAGCTGGCTGTAGGGCCCCACACCCGTAGCATATTCTGAAGAAGCCAAGGCACGGAGGCTCACCACTTTGAGGCCAGTCTGGGCTAGACGTTTAAAGCAAGGCAGGGTGGCACATGCCTTTAATCCTAGCACTCAGGAGGCAGAGGCAGGAGTATCCAGGAGCTGTCCTAGGAGTTCAAGGGCAGCTTGGTCAATATACTGAGTTCTAGAACAGCTAGGACTACACAGTGAGATCCTGTCTTAGAAAAAAATTATCCAGAGACAGGTGGATTTCTGAGTTCCAGGCCAGCCTGGTCTACAGAGTGAGTTCCAGGACAGCCAGGGCTACACAGAGAAACCCTGTCTCGAAAAACCAAAAAAAAAAAAAAAAAAAAAAAAAAGAAAGAAAGAAAGAAATTATCCAGGCATGTCCTTGCTGCAATATGACTGTTGATTAGCAGTTCACTGCTGATTCAGAGCCCATTCTCTTGATAGGTGCCTTGAAACCCCAAGTTTCTGCCTTTTTAATATTCGTTAATACACTTTGGGGGCGGGGGTGGACAAGGATTAAATCTGAACCTTCAAGCTTGCTACGCAAGTGCTTTGCCATTAGGCTGTAACGCATCCTGGGCAAGCAGGGACAAAAAAAAAAAAAAAAAAAAAAGGTTTAAAGTGGTACCTAATCAGAGTCACCTAGCCCAGAGGAAGCAGGGACTCCTAGCAATTACTGTAAAGGGTTAAACTGGTTGTAAGACCTGAGGGTCTTTTAAAAGCACATTCAAAGACACCTGCAAATAGAGTCTACGTTTCCCTTTTTGAGGCACCGGAACGTGTGTGAAGAGAGTGCATATGGCCTAGGGTAGAGGTAGGGAGCAGTGCCTAAAATCAGGCGTCCAAATAACAATCCTGCCCCCACTCATTTGTGACCGTCAGCCTCCCAAGTTGACCTGGTAAAGAATACTCCTGGTCCTTTTTCTCATTTAAGCAAATCGTCATTATCACCACCACCACCACCACCATCATCTTGTGTTTATGGGGGCTTGCCTGCATGTATGTGTGTGCACCACCTGCATGCAGTTTCTCGGGAGACTAAAAGAGGGTGTTGGATTATCTGGGACTGAAATGACAAGAATTTGAAACCACCAGGTGGCGCTGAGGATCAAGCCCAGGTCCTCTGGGGGAAAAAAAAAAAAGGTCAGTGCTCTTAACTACTGAGCCATCAGTCCAGCCCCCTTTTTCTCACTTTCAGAGATTAAAAAGAAATCCCGTTTCGAGCCAAGCAAATCTCTGCTTTCCTTCCAAATAGCCATTTGAAAGTTAAATGCATCCACTTTCTCAGCACTGCTTCCCCAGGACTGGGAAAGAGTCCCGCCAGGAAGGCAGAGAGCATTTCTCACACCTCGTCCTTTACCGGTGGAAAGTAGGGGCCGTTTCTGCCTTTTACGTGGATTATTCTGGCAGTTTGAGCTATGATCTCAAAATTCAGTCTTTATTCAGGAACACAGATTTTAAATGTTTAGTTTAGTTATGCGTATATGTGAATAGTGTGTACGCATGTGGACAAGTGCCTAAGAAGTCCAGAAGAGGGCGCCAGGTCTCTCCTGGAGCTGGCGGTGGGTGCTGGGAACAGAACTTGGATGGTCTGCAAGAGACCTGATACCTTTTTGGGAAGGAGGGCAGGGTGTTTTTGAAACGGGATCTCTCTATGTAGCCCTGGCTGTCATGGATATCGCTATGTAGACCAGGCTGCCCTCCAACTCACAGAACCTCCTGCCTCTACCTCCAAGTGGTAGGATTAAAAGTGTGCACCACTATGTCCCGTTACAATACATACTTTAAACTGTTAAGCCATCTCGCTGGTCCCCAGGGTATAGGTTTTTGAGGAAAAAAAAAACAGATGCAGATTCATATTTAGTAGACTACACGTACAATGTAAAAGCTCACGAAGCTTGGTTCACTTGGCATATATGAGCTTGTGGCCCAGGTTTCTTTTATACAAAACACAAACAAACAAACAAACAAACAAAAGCAACCCAGCTTTGGTACTAATGTGCAAATGTCATTCTTTCAGATTGTGTGTGTGAGTGTATGTGTGTGTTTAGAGCTACTTAAATTCCATATTAAAGCTGTTACGTTTTGAACCCAGCTGCCAGGCTCACAGCTGCACCCTCCCCTCTCCCCCGCCCTTACCAATGATACCAGCATCGCCCTTCCCTGTAGCACAGGGTCAGACAGTTGGACAGCTCTCTAGAAAACTAGCGCTCCTATTGGCTATCGAGTAAATTCCAGGGATAGATAGGATTAAGAGCTTCAAAGAGGATTCCCCAGCCCTCCCTCAAAGGAGGGTCGAACACTGTGGTCTAATTCCAGGATAAAGTAAGCCGGTGAGAAGGAGAACGTGCCTGTTTACATAGCAGTGTGGCCTTTCCCAAAGCAGCAGCAGCCTGTTCCTCCCCCATCCGAGGATGGGTAGGGTGCAAGTGTGCAGCGGATCCACCACATCGAACTGAAACAAACTTCTTGGTTGTGACCCTAAATGGGGTCACGACACAAAACGTCTCCTAGCTCCAGCTCCTGGTGACTAATAGGCCATCCCTGCCAAATGCAATAGTGTACCACAGAGAAAGCACTTTGCACGAACCTCTCCATCAGTACGCTCTCCCAAAGCCTCGGCCCCAAAGGATGAAGGTAATAAAACCAACGCGTTTTACTGCATGCACTAGGGAACAAAATGCCCCCCACCACCACCACCACTATGCTTGATACAACCCCACACCTTTACCAAACTGTCTGGTCTAAAGCAGAATGAGAGCTACCGACCAGCGTGAGGGCACCAATCCTGGGACATATGTGTTAACTCATCAAACCCAAAGGGATCCGGGGTCACTGTGGACCGATTTCTATTAATAGGAGGTAAAGCTCCTGCAGACATTAGAGGTAATGGCCTGACAGCCCAGTGCCGTTAACTCCTCTTGGGCCAGCATGTTAACAAAACAAAACATGTTTTGCCCAGGCAGAGGTGGACCTTGAAAGGATCACGTTCATACGCACAACATCCGGGCTCACTACCTCTCTCCTTAACGGTTCAAACCCCAAGCCCAAGCCCTGGAAAGAGAAGGGGCAGAGAACGGTCATTGGATATCAGTCAGCTCAGCTTTGCCACACATAAGGCGAGGGCCACAGCCACCAACAGTACAGCGCTGAAAACCGTGGCAGCCAGGGCCTTGCTCGGGTCGCAGGGTCCCGTGCGCTCCTCTACAGAAATGCCACCAGCGGAGGACGCGCCGGCACTGGCACCGGACAGGAGTTCGGCGCCCGCCGCCTGTCGCGCCTGTACAGTCCAGCGGGGCACGTTGACTTTCATTTCCATGTCGTCGATCATCTCGCCCACCTGGAGGACTTCGCGCTCCAACTGGGGCAGATCAGAGACATCGAAGTCGCTCTCGGCTTCGTGCCGCAGGCTGCGGGCGCTCAGGGCTCGCGCGGCTACCGCAGAGGAGCCGCCGGCCACCCCAGTGCGAACAAGTGGCCGGCGCGGCGCGTGCAGCGGGAAGGCGGCTCCCAGCGCCAGTGCGCGCTGCATGTCGGCTTCGAGCAGGTCCAGGCAGCCCGAAAAGGCCACCCAGAGCCGCTCAAACTCCGCGCGCTCCTCCGTAGCTAAGCTCCGGTCGCGGAGCGCGACGGTCAACCGAGCGCCGGTGGCCATGGCCAGCTCCCGCGCCTTCTGGCGGGTCTTCTGCAGCTCTTCGCGCAGGTCCTGCGTGTCCGCGGAGCCGCCCACAGTAAGCACTAAGTGATGGTAGCACGCTGTGGTCTTGTTGAGCGCGTCCAGCAGCGCCTTGCACTCCTCTCTGGCCATGGCGCTGCCCTCCGGCAGTGATGCCCCACTTGCACCCTTCAACGTCGCAGGTCGCCTCCAGCCCTGATGCCAACCTTGGGGAGGGTGGACTGAATGCTCCTCATGTTCTCGCCGCCGCTCTCAACAGAGCTCTCCAGGAACCCTCGACATGTGCCTACGTCGTCCCCACGGGCAGAGGTAGTCCGGTTAGCTGCTCCCCATCCGCTCCTCCATTTTTCCCAGACGCGCTCCGGGTCACGCGTAGTGTCTTTGCATAACTTTCTTTTTCACGGCTGCTCCCTGAGAAGCCCAGAGTGCAGACCCCATCCTTGATCGAACCCAAGTCTCCAAGCTGAGACGCGCGCCTTAGCCCCGGCCAAGGGCAGCAAGATCCAGTTTCCTAGGACACGCCTCCAGCCGCCTGTCTGGGCCCGAAGCTTCCTCCCGCCCCTGGACCAGGGGTAGGCGGGGCCCAGCCCAGGGTGGTCAAGTGTGACTTTCCCTCTTCTTCCTAACATTATAATTTTGGAACCTTAGCGCCCTGCAAATTCAAGGCTTTTTTTTTCCTACTTTGCAGAGGAGGAAAAGTGAGACTGTAGAAAGAAGGCTTAGCTTATCAGAGCCCATGCTAGTGAAGGGAAAAGACCAAGGAACATTGTACTCCTCGACACTGTAGGCAACAGAGTAGGATGGCTCGGAAGACTGGGCACCTCCAGTCTGCATCACCAGCAGCATAGGGCGATCGGCCGGGCAGGATTGTTACTTAGATGGGGGCTCTCTTTCTCCATCGTGGTTCAACCCGATTTCAGAGACCCAGCTTGGACCCCACCCCTAATATCAGATCTTCCTTAGGTCCCGCCTCTGAATTCTGGGCACGCGCACTCCCTGACTCTGGGCGGGGCTAGCCTGAGTAGGAAGCGCGGAGTCTCCTGGGCCCCACCCCCGACTGAACTAGACTTAATGATTGCTCTGTTTACGTGTCAGTCTCGGCTAAGATGACCTCTTATTGGACAGACTGGAGCAGAGTTCCGCCCAACGGCGGAGTAAAAAGGTAGGCTGAAGAGTGGAGCCACCGCACCCGGGTGGTGGGCGCTCAGGTCCCAGCCCGGGGTCCGAGAGGTGCTGTCGTAGCACAGAGGTGAAACTATGTAGCCTCTTAAGTAAGTGTCTTCTGCGGGTGTCCTCCAACGCCTCCCTACTCTGGGGGGCGCCAAGGTCGGGCGGGGCTTGGGAGCGGAAGGGGGAGGGGTTCGCTGCGCTGAGCTGGAGCCCCTGGCTGGGCTGATGGGCCCCCCGGGGCCCGGACCCGTTGCGGGCTGAGCCTCCCAGCTCTCCCGTTCCTTTGCTGTCCGCAGCGCGGCGCGCACGTTGTCCACTGCGTCCAGAGGGAAGCCTGGGCGGCGCGGAGAATGCATCTATTCCTGGGGCTCCACGGCAGGCCCAGGTCCCCTGGAGCTGGGACTTGGGGCAGTGAGCAGAGCCGTCGCTCCCAGGCCATGTGGCCTGGGATGTTTTCCGGTGGCCAAACTGGATACTGAGGGAGGAGGCTGTGTGTACAGGTCCCGGTCTAGGCCAGCTGATTGAGTTTCCGCGGGGGCTGAAAGTGGGAAGGGTATCCCTGGCTGCTTTACACGTGGCGAGGTCCTCTTGTCCTGTAAGTAGAGAAGACTTATGGAAAACTCAGGTTCCTAGAGACGTTCAATCACTCAGAGTCTGTTCAGTTTCTTGGTTGAAAACGGACTGCCCAGATGAGCGCGCGCCAGGCGGTACCCCCTCTAGCCTCTCCTCCAGCTGCAAGGGGACATATACACTCAAGGCGGGGTGGGTGGCAGTGGAAGCAAGTGACACATCATCAACTAGGAGTGAGAAGCTCAGGGTAAGAGGGGCTGGTGAGACTGGACAGACATAGTGCTCAGTGACTGGGATTTCTGTTTCATTCTGTGGAGAGACACTCCTGTTTTCATTAATAACATTGTAAACTTCCCATTGATCGGAGCGAAAGCAGCACATATTAGGGTTTTGAGAGTCCCCCCGTGCAGGCCTTGGTGGTGTGTCAACTGACAGGAACTAGGGCCCTGAACTCCAGTTCTTACTGTCACTCAGGGGTCAGTCCTTTAGCCAGCTGTCCATTTGCATTCAGAACTTGGATGATCTGGGACTTGGCCAATTCTCCTGGGGAGTGGGGGATGATGTTTGCCGCCACACAGGTTTTGATAGGGGACTAGGTATCAGGACCAAATGAGTGGAAAGGGGGAGAACTCATCCTTTTGGAAAGCTGTAGGGGTGTGGGGAATGATGGGATTTTGAAAGTGGACAAAGGCCACATACCAAGTATGGATCGTTCAGCTGGTTTGGGGGGGGTGCAGAGGGAAAGACAGAAGAATACTGCATAGACCTAAATGCTGGAGAGGTCACTTGGGTGTGGTTCACCAGGGACAGGTAGGTGTGCAATCTCAGGCAGAGGAAGAGGATGAGTAGAGGAGTAGCTATTGGGAAAGCAGCCAGGGTCTTGACGTTGGGTTAAGGTGTATTCCAGGGTTAGACCTCGGGCCAGTTCCCCCAGCCTTGATGTCTCACCTGAGTCATCCAGCAGGCAGCATTACTAGGAGGGCAGCAGCCATGTGTGCACAGGGCTGGGGTCAAGGTCATGACTGGACCTCCATGTGCTTACCAGACTGTGCTATCCTTGTACCAGGACGCTGCAGGCTTTTTGTTATTGATTTGTCTGGGTGCCGTTCAATGATTTTGTGCTGTTAGGACACTCCCTGGTTATTAGCCGGTGACATTAGGTTGGTGTCCAGTAACATCTTCCTCTCCAAGGGGTGCCAAGGAATGTGACCGACCGATTATAGGTGACAGACTTAGAGAGGAGTCAGTTCAGAGGAATCTGGATTAATGTGTCACAAGGTTGGCCATCTTTGGGAGCTACTAAGAACCGGCCCTCTGAGTGCCTGCCCATCTGCGTGAGATCCTGGCAGGGAGATGGGTGCATGGGTGTTTCATCTGCAACTCTGGGAGCAAGGTGCTGGGGGTGATTCTGAGCAGTGCTCATACCCCTCCAAACCTAACTGGATCCCTGATCATTTCTCCCTAACACCACAGGTTCCAGTGTCACTATGTTTGACCAGCTTTGAGCACCTTGTTTATTTTTACCTGTGTGGCTGCTGTCTGGGATTAACCCTTCACCTACTATGGGAGAGACGGCCATCCTCTTGCTTCCTCTTAGCCTTGAAGTGAGCTGAATGCAGGTGTTAGAGCTGAGTGCTTTAACGTGAGGTTTACAGACAATATAGCCCCATCTGTAAATATTACAAGGCCAGAATCACTGGGGACTAGAAAGCACAGATTTCATCCCTGTGCTCCATTGATATTAAAAATAGATGAATAGAAGCTGTTCCCTTTTTGTCCCCACCCCCATCCCTCCCTTTGAATCACTTAGAAGGCCTTGTTCGTTGCCTGGAAAGCACGTCTGGCTAGGGTCTTTGGTTCTGAACCTGTAAGGGTTCCTGTAACATTTGGCAGGGAGTACATCTCTGGGAAGCACAGACTCCCCATGTTGAATTCTGCAGAGCAGGGTTGTGCCCAGTCCCCGTATGGTTCCTGACTACCCAAACTCATCCTGGTTGTCAGGACAGCTAAAGACCACAAAACCACACTGCAGTGTGCATACTATCTCCTGAAATGTTCAGACTTTCCCCATATGACTGTCTTGTTCACAGGGTAGCTGGCCTCAGGTAGCTCATGTTCAGGGGTATTTGGCATTTCTGACTAATGCTACTGACTTTTCTGTCAGTTTTCATTGGAGGTCTGTCAGGGATGGAGAGGAGCCCCTTGGTCTGGGATTCTTAAGACTTCTATGAACTGTACTCACAACCTCCTAAATCCTTTGGTTGCTTTGGTCCTCGTCTCAGTGTCTTCCCCATCCCCTGCTATTCCTTTTCCTCTCTGGCCATATTTCCTTGCTAGGGAGTGGCGGTTTGGGTGCTTTGCCAGTGTCACATGTCCATCCCCAGCTTGCCATCACGTACATCCTGTTTCTCAAGTGGTTTTTATCTAAAGCATCTAAAGCTGTCATACACTGTCCCATGGAACCAACTATTTGAAACCAGGAAGAATGCTATTCCCTTATGACTCTGTCCCCCCAAAATTGCATTCTCTGCTTCTCTTGGGGGATCATGAGAGAACTATCTGGCTCCGGCAATAATTAAATTCTATGAATCAAACACCTGAAGCGACTCCAAGGTCTCCCTGGGGGCCCAATTATTTACACCCATTTTTTATTTTAGGCTCTTCTTAAAAGTTCTCTTAGATCCTCCTGTGGGAGGAGCTAAGTCCCCAGTGAGAAAAGTCCCCAGTGGAGCCAGTAGTCAAGTCAGCTCTCACTGGGCCAAGAGAATTGATGTTGGGCCCGTGTGGCTATCTGTCAGGCAGACTTTTCCATCTGGGTAGATGGAGTTTCCGGTCTTGTGTGTATGTGTAGAAATCAGAGGACAGGAGCTGGAGAGGTGACTTAGTGGTTAAGAGCGCTGGCCGCTCTTGCTGAGGTTCAATTGCCAGTGTTTACATGGTGGCTCACTACCGTCTAGAATTCCAGGGGGTTATGACACCCTACTGTCTCCTGGCTTCCACATGTACCAGGCATACACATTGTTCACAGTCATACATGTCGGGAAAACACCCATGCAGATAAAATAATAAGTTTTAAAAAGAAGTTAGAAGACAGCTTGTAGGAGTCAGTTCTCTCCTGGGGATCGAACTCAGGTCATCAGGATTGGCAGCAAGCGCCCTCATCAACTGAGACATCTATCTCACGGGCCACGTTCATCTTAATTTTAAAGTGATGGTTATTAACTGAAAGTGTATTTTGGATAGGTTACAATCTAGAAACTGTTAAAAAAACAGTTTTCGCTGTTTTGTTTTTTATGTGGCTACTAGGTATTTATATTATGTACTTATTAGGCATGGTGGTGCACACCTGGAGTCCCAGATACTTAAGAGAGCGGAGTTACAAAGAGTTACAA